CGTTTTTATTAATAAATCTTGGGTTAATCTTCTAAACGGTAATGTGTGATGGACGTGCTTTAATCTGAATCTTGTTTTATGGTAAGTAGTTAGCGGTTGTTTGAGTAAACCCTTGGGAATTAGTTTTATAACGCTTTTAGAGATGCTTTGTTCTTTAAGACTTTTAGATCTTAATTAGAGTTATTATGAGTTGTTAATCAGATGTGGCACGTTAAAAGGGTTCTGCAGACACACTGTTGCATTTCGAAATTAATTTCCTATGACACTTCTCCCTTACTACCGACTGCCTTTGTTTTGTTTCCTGTCATCCACTTTGCACTGGAGGGAAGTCGAACCTTAACATCGAACTCTTCCTATGTTCTTCTGATTAATTTCGTTGCAGGTCCAATGACAGATTAACTTTCCCCCGGGACAAACTTGACCTTCACTGGTTGGGTTTTTATTAGCGGTCAAGCTCGACAAGCAGACAGGGATTGCAGCGGTGGGAAAGAAAGGTGGGAATAGTCCTGTTTTCCCTTACTTCATTAACACTCGCAAACATTGAAAGAACATACCTAGGTAGGGAGATCTTTTGTGAACTTTATAGTCAGTTTTAGAACTTATAAAGCTGATTATTTAGCAATAGCAACCTTTGCAGGTTGCATACATTAATGCACTCACGATCCACGAGTAGGGTGAAGCCACAAAGTTCATACCAATCGGCCATGACTCTGACATAGCCTTACCTACACGCATTGTAGTCAATGAATTGGAAATGTCACCACGACTGCTCGCCTTTAATTGGATTATACTAAATTCGGCTTTAATACTTTGCGATAAGAGCTATGGTTTGTTTTGTTTTTGTGGCGTAGATAAAAGTCAGCAATTTATGGAATTTTATGGAATTCGGAACACCTCTCGTTCCCACCGCTTTGCAACTCCTGTGTAGCCAGGAGGCTTGACTATCAATAAAAGCCAAACGAAGGTCGAAATGAGGGCACAGTTTGTTTAAATTACATGACTGTCCTTCACAGTAGTTATGTTTTTACTGACTTAAAATCCGCTAAGTAGTTATCCCAAGAAAAATCTTATCGAAATTAAAAGTGGCGTAAGCGTAACGTACTAACTTTAGCATCAACGATCTCTCGAATTGCCTGTCAATTGTTTGGTTCATTTGTTTTGAGCTATGTAACGTTGGTAATTCCATGGTTTTGCTACGGGTGGACGAGTTTGTCAAGGTTGACCTAGCAGGGAGCGATGAGTGAATATATAGATTTAATTGAAATGCGTACGTTGGACGTCGTTTTTGGAGTTACGACTTCCGAATAATTACATTAATACTTCTTTCATTTAAGTACCTACCTAATTACAATAATCTCTACATTGGTACTTAATTAACTAAATAAGTGAGTTAACGTATGGACACCTACCCTATTTCTAATATTAACTCATTGCAATTCAGCATGATCCATTATTTTTCTTTGACCTGGTATATCGTCAAATAGTTCGTGGTACCCAAAATAGCCAAAAAGTTCGCAACACGTCTTTCGCCCGTATTCACAAACATTACTATGAGGCCTCACAGTGCGCGTAGACGCACAGGGTGACACACGAACCAATCACAGAGCTCTATTCAACGCTATGCGTTTGATATTCTGCTTCACTTAAGCAAGCATCGTTTGTGAATACGGACGCTGTTTTGTTGTCAACTTTTTGGCCACTTTGGGTGTCAAAAATTACTTGACGCTGGCTCTATAAACTCATTGTAATGATCCATTATTGTTCTTTGACCTGGAAACGGTTCTGGTATGCCAGGAAACTCCTACGCAAGTTAGTCTGTGGACGTGGTCATTATACTTTATGGCCGTGTGAAGACTTTTTCCGCATCTTAATTAGTATGACCTTTATTACCGAATGTTTATGGATGAAATTACAGAGGTAATTTGACGATGATCAGTTTTTCCCGTTGGTTCATTCGACCGTATAAAGCAGTAAACGATGAAATTGAGTTGTTTATTAACTTTTAAGTTGCAGTTTTTGTTTGTTTACTTTTCGATTCGACCTAATTTAAAGAACCTAACTTTTCGAAAAACAAACACATAATATGCAAGCAAGTAATTTTGATAGCTTACAAAAATAAGTAGGAAATGAAAGAAATAGCAAGCCAAAAAGTCTTTTAGGATACATTTTAGTTTCAAATAGAGATTACATTAATTGCCGTCGACGGCCGATGGGGCAACAAGGTTCTGGAATGGAGGCTACGTACCGGATATCTTCATTCCAAATCTATCTTTGGAACTTCATCCTTTGCTCAATACATAGTAGAGCAATCTATCTTAAATCTATCAAAAATCATCTTCTTTAAATCGGAACATCAAAGCAACGGTTTCCTTTAGTTATCGAGCTTCATTGCTCACTGATTGTGTTTTCTCACGGGTACTCCGGAAGCGGTGGCCCAAGGTGTCTCGTAATGTGCCACAACCGGCCGATATGCTTGAACTGTGATGTGAGTAATAACGATAGCTTAGTTAATGAAGTTAAACAGATGGTTGAGTTTATACACGATCGCAAATAAGCGATCTTTTATCAAAACATTAAGCACATTCTGGCTAGATCAAAGAGGCTCTGACTACACTTAATTTGGCTTTTCACAAGCTTTTTCACAAGTAGGTAGTTTTAGATACCAATATAATATTTTTTATTACTACATACTACGTAATTCGGGATAATAAGTGGGTTATTGCTGTGCATCAGATTTCAGTCTCTATAATCCTCTTTATCATTGAAAAAAAAACCAATCCGAGGATTGAGTTTAAGTCAGGTTTTGAGCGTCATTTCAAAAATACGAGCCCTGCGGCTCATACTCTACACTGAGAATTAAAGATGCTACTGGCCCTGATAAATATTCGGCATTTTATTTTCAACTGCTGCAGGCATTTATTTTATTATAGAGGGCGCCCTATACTACGTGGCAGTAAGTATACTTTGTTGGATAGCAATCGAAAGATATTCTAATCTAAGTTGAAGATAAAGTACCATTAATGAATCTAAATCAAAGAAAAAGATTCGACACGAACCGAATTTACCTTTAGGCGTGAACTGATCGAGATAGAACCATAGATGCGATCGCATCTGTCAGTGACGTCACACCAATATTCACGGTTGACGTGACGTCACGTCTAGACGACCGACGGAAGTGACCACTTGTCAGTTTCGGGTTACAACTCATTCAATGCTTGGATGGTGTTTGGGCGTGAATTTTTTTGTTGGTAGGCTAAATGAACGGTTTTTTGGTCGTTGGTTTAGTTAACTAGGGCGATGTTAATGTGTTAAGGACCTTAGTCCCATCATATTTTAAGTTATTGCTCATTGTAATGGTACGAGTAGTAAAGGAGTCAAAAAGATGTATGTTTCAGTATTAGAGTATTTATTGAGCTTATTCACTTTGAGACATTTTTTTAATGCATAACAAGGCAGTTATTTCACTTGGATTTATTTGATTTGACATTGGTTCTTATAGATAGAGTTTTGAAAATAACTATAGCCATTGTTTAGAAAATTTCAATGTGGAAAATAGGATAAATACATAATGGTCTTACTGACAGTGATAATGCTTTTCGAATGTCAATAATAATTGTACTACAGAATGTACGACTCTATTTTGACTTTTGAAATGACTACATCAAGCGATTGCAAATAAATGGTAGACCTATAAGTAGCTGTCTCCTGTAGCCTAACTAAAGGGTCTAACTCTAGAAACAATAATATCACTAGACATTCATAATGACATAACAGCTAATAATAAAGAACCTATAAGTGTGAACTAGATGACAAACGATGATTATTCTTACACCAATTTCAAAATCGATATGATAGATTAGTGTAAACATCGATCTGCGAAGGTGTCTCGGTGTGACAGCAACAATGGCGCGAGGGCGGCTGTCACCTTGACTTATTTAAGTGACAAGCCAGAATCGGCTGACCTTCGACTCCCACTGTAAGGTTTCACGATAAGCTGCGTTACATGATAATACTGCGCGAATGAGTCAACGTGATAGGCTGTTTAATTGAATTTATAACTTTGCAATCAAAAAGAAATTCTTATTCAGAAGCACAAGGATTGAAAATCATTCAAAACTGTGCTCTACATTTGAAGAAAAAGAACAAAATATTTTGATGAAAAACACATTGTAGACATAACAATCAAGCATAAACCTTCAATGGAACCTGACATCACATTTACATATACAATTTGGAAAGCTATAATTTCAGATGCTTATCTCGCGATGCCTTCCAAAGCATCCACTCTTTTATCAACAAAGATGATCGCTCCAACCCACGGATCGATATTTAATTTTTGTCGTCAATTCCTTATCTCGATTTGGTATCGATTGTCGTATGTCTTCATCTCAGTCCAATAGAAAATAATGAGTCATGCATCGCACATTAGATGTTTATTAAATCCCGGTTCAAACTGACAGTAAGATGGAAATTACAAGTCATTATCGGTTTTGTAAGATCCAATAATGATGCCGATCTGTTAACAGTTATTAAGCGTATAAAATGGCAATATAATAACTGATGATGTACCTAAAAACTCCAAGCTTTAGCTACAAAAAGTAAAGATCAAACAATATAATATGCGCAACAAAACTGGTTTAAAAGCCGTGTATCTGAAACGGTTGTGGGTATGCAAACAGGCAATAAGTAGTGCAAAACTTCGAGCGATTGTGCCGATTGGACGCTGAGGAATGTGGACTCCATCCCTGTTTTCAATTAGGCGAATGAGCCTCAAAACAAACTAATCGAATTTCTCATCCGAGGAGGTATTTTTAAAAACAATTCTGAGTTTTACGTGAGTTTTATCTTCACGATTTCCTGCCCAGACCTCAACGTTGATGAGAAGTATGTAAATATTGTCAATTTAGGGAGATTTCGTTGATTTGAAATTCTTTTGTTTTATATCTTCATCTTTGTAATGAAGTCCACATTCCTCTGGCCAATTAAGAGTGTCTTCGTGCCTGTCAACTGGTTCAGCCCCTGTGGCACGGACGAGTGTGCCGACCAAAGCGACCTGATCTTATTGAAGACCAGGCTTGGCCACGCCGCTGTCCTCGGACCTTCTTCTGGTAATCCTGTTGGTACATTATTGATGTCAAATCTCACAATCCTGCCTCCATTCATTCAAAAGCTGATGATTATGACTAAGCTAAGTAATTATTAGATTAATTATAAATACAAATCGCCAATATTATTCACACAGACAGATAGAAACGTTACAAGTAATCGACAGACTAATTACAGCCGTGAGGGGGCAAGGGCCGTGGCGAATTGGAACTAATAGATTAAGAAACCCACAGCTGTGACTGTGCTATATATTTCAATCCGCCATCGCGCGGACTAGAATGATATAATTAATGGAAATGAAAACTGTAACAGATGCTGAGATAAAGTTCGCAGTCGGCCTGTCTGCGCGGGCCGCATTGCAAAAGTCTAACGGAGGTATACCTAAGCTAATAAATACGAGCCAGACAACCGGTCCTTTACGGAACCCCTACGTACATCCGGCGGGGCCGCGTGGGCGCCCGCAACTGTCACTCAACATTATTTACGATGCAAGGGATCCTTTTCGAAAACATAAAAGAAGCCTATCGGGAAAGTGAGAGGCGCTAGTGAATGAGATTTCAGCTTTACCGTAGAAGGCATGAATGGAGTGCATTGCGCTCACTGCAGCTTACGCAATTGCGATGCAAATGGCGGGTCCACGCGTCGGTAGTTATGCAAATTCGCCGATTGGTACTTACCGGATAGAGGCACGTGGGCTTCGTGCGAGTGCCGGGAGGCGCGCTGGCCGAAGGGGCTTCGGAGGGATTTGGGGCTGAGGAAGAATCTTCTTCTGGTGTGAGGCGGTGTGGGGCAGCTCTGGGCTAGGTTGGTGGGTTGCTTCGGCGGCTTGGGCAGCCGCATCGGCGACTGCCAGTCTTGATCCTGGCGCTGCGGGGACGGCGTGTATCTCTCCATGACTTGCCGTCGCCCTTGACTGTTCCTGGCGCAGATGGGGCACGCTTCGTTCCTGAACATGCAGGAGTAGCAGCGCTCATGTCCGCAGGTGTCGATCAGCTTTCTCTTTTTGCCCTTGTCAAAGGGCATGTTACAACTGGGACAGGTTGTGCCGCCCGTCTCGCTCTCCAGCAGCTGTCGTATCGCGGCCAAGTCTGGAAAAATAATGAACGATTTAATACCGCGTCGATGATTAGCCGACAGCCTGGATGTTGGGTGTTGACATATTTCTATCGTTTAGTATGCAAACTGAGCGGTTGTCGCTCCATGCATGGCAATCGATTTACGCTCTAACGATCCTTGAAGGTATTCTAACGAAGGATAATGATATAATTTGCTTCGAACGCGGGAACGGACTGTTTGAACCAATTACATCAATGAGGATGTAGAGATAGAATTTAAATGGGATTATGACGTAGATGACGGTGTTTTTACGGGTGAAAACTACTCTGTTATTAGTAAGTAGTTACTAATGCTTTGATTCGTGTAGAGTCGAGATAGATATTATGTCGTAAATAACGATACATCGTTAAGTAGCATCTTGTCTTCGCCGGGCGGCTTTTATTTAATAAAACTCAGATTTATTGGTGACCATCATTATGACTTCTGAGTACATAAGTCTCTGCCATCAAAACTTAAATCAACACTTTCAAATTAAGCTGCTCGTAAATCAAGTATCGGTAAACGAAGTAATTAAATACGGGAATTGCTTCACGATACGTGAGGAGAGAGGGGGATATGTTGCGTCTCTGTCATGTCTGACGCAGCCGGTGACAAATGACACGAAGATTGAGCGGCGCAGGGGCATTCCAGGAGGATTCCGTCAACTGGGACCGCAATTAACTGGGACCGCGGTCCCAGTCGCCGGATGCGTAAAAATTAAATAATTTTCTTCCGGCGACTGGGACCACTCATGGATTTTAGTACTGTACCAATTTTGGATTGAATAATATTTTCTTTTAAGTTATCTATGAGTGGTCCCAGTCGCCGGAAGAAAATTATTATTTTTTTANGGGACCGCGGTCCCAGTCGCCGGATGCGTAAAAATTAAATAATTTTCTTCCGGCGACTGGGACCACTCATGGATTTTAGTACTGTACCAATTTTGGATTGAATAATATTTTCTTTTAAGTTATCTATGAGTGGTCCCAGTCGCCGGAAGAAAATTATTATTTTTTTATGGATCCGGCGACTGGGACCGCGGTCCTAGTTAATTGCGGTCCCAGTCGCCGGAAGCCTCATTCCAGCGGCTCTTTAACATTTTTTTTGCATTGTAGGCGAGTCATTTATATCAGACATCTGGTACTTTCGTGCTTGTACAGAATAAATAACCCACACTGAATAATTATGTTTAACTTGTAAATGTATGAGTTTGTATTCATCACCTGGATTTACAATTAACATAAAAACATGATCCGTCGGCTTATGCAATGGCAAACAGGTAAGAAATGTTTATTAATATTAAGCATGGATTGGTGTTTATTATTTTTATACAATAAGGCTGGGTTGCACCATTACTTTAACTTTGACAAACGTCAAAAATCTGTCAAAGACCATACAAAAACCATCGGTTATCGTTATAGTTACGGTAAAAGTTAGGTGGTACAACTCAGCCTTAGTGGGTTAGTATTCCATCAATCGACTGCATTACCGTTAAAATTAGGCGAAATCTTAGCCTTGAAAAATAAAAAGTATTGGACTGTCTTATTACAAAAAAGGTTTAATTACACATCTAACTTTGAAGCTAGCCTTTGGTATTTGAAAGTTTTCGCAACAATTCGCACAAGCGAAGAGAAGAAAGTAAATTGTTTGAATTAAATTATTAACTCGCCAATTTGTGGTCCATTTTCAATGTTGCGGATGGCATTGGGTTTTTGCTCTGTCGAGTCACGACTTTGCTGTGATGTTCTAGTTATTACTTTGTCTGGTAAAAATCGTGCAAGTTACTATACAGGGTGAAGAATAAATGACTCTACACACCAAGCCCGCCGACACCATGTACCTTTTATTACTTCAAAAGAATCATGTCGATGACATACATTTTCTAAAGCTGGGTTGTACCAGCTAAAGTTAAAGTAAACTTTGACAAAAGTCAAAAATCTGTCAAACTCCATACAAAATACACCGGTTATTGTTATAGTCTCGGTTAAAATAAGATGGTGCAACCCAGCCTTAAACTTTTCTATGACTTTTGAAAACATGTCAAATGGTGGGTTGGCGGGTTTGGTGTGTAAACTGCGTTAAAATATAAAGTCCTTTTTTGAAGTCCTAAAAAATATTGATAGAAACTGAAAAAAACTTTAACATCATGACTGAGAGCCTACTTTGATTTGAAGTGTCTACTTATTTGTTGTACAAAACATGTGTTTCATAGTTAATGATTTTAAGTATAAAATTATGCGTTGTTTCACCCTGTATTTAATATCTGTGAGGTAAAAATCGTGCAAGCTTACAATATTTTGCGTCAGAGGCAATCGCAAGGCTGGTTTGCGGCGCCATAACGTCGCTTTCCTTTTTTGACCTTTCCAAAAATACTCGTTTTCTTCAGTTGGTATTGTTTTAAGCCGAGCACTCACTGTGTTTACGTTTGGACGGATTCTTTTTCCCGCGATTTTATTTGAATCTCTAACACAGATTCGGTAGTTGTACTTTTTTTTAATTACTCAATAGCAAGTAGCCAGTATCTTTGTTGACGTCTAGCCGCGCTTAAAAACTTTTTTATTATTACATGAGCATTCACATTAGTTTTTCTTTTCTTATTTGAACCGGCCAGTGCTTTTTGAAAATATTTAGAGACTGTTCTCTTATATTTACGAAAAATGACCTCATTTTAATTTTTTTGGTATATTAGACATTTTTCGCCTCACTAAATTAAAAAAAATATAAATTCTCGTTTACAAGTCCTGTCCCTAGTAATTTATGTTTACTTTTGATTACGAACAACACTTTCCTTGACTTTACAAATTACTTTCAAATATTAAATCTTTGGTTACTAAATTAAGAACGCGCCCTTCCGACGAAACATCAGCATTAATGCCCGATGATAACCGTTATTTGGTCGTCTTAAATTTATTGGGACTTGCCATTAAATAGTTTGTTTAAAACCGCCACTTTTCGATGCAGGCTTTTATCATGTGTCGTTTACTTGAGTATCAATAAGGAGTTTTATCATAATAAGGTATATTTTGACTGCAATCTCAAGGGTGTGGAAATACGTAAAAGGCGATTTATTAATATTTGCGGAGAACGGGTTAAATAATATCTTATTATCGAATTCGAACCACCCAATGTCAGAGAACTAGTTTGGTTTGTTGTCTCTTTTTAAGCTCTACTAGATAAATTACATAAATTTAATTATTATTAATCTCAAGAATTTGTAGGTCAACATTATTAAAATTTCTGTTCTTTCTTTCTCATTGCAATCCAGTTTTGCGGGATTAAACACGTATGTTACACACTATTAAACGGGATCCTGCAAAAAACGGGATATCTTCGTATGAAAGAGCCCTAACAGAATCTATTAATACAGATTCATCAGTAAAACGTTGGGATGTTTAAAAAAAAACGCATAATTCAAACTTCGAATAGACCTGTAACCGTGAGCTATCGACAGTTTCATAGAACACTTCAAACGAGTATTCGAGTGATTAAAATAATTATATCAAATTATATCGATGTGCATAAATAGATGTCTGGCTGGATAGACAGACGCTGACTCACGTTAAATTTGCCTTCGCAAAAAAGTAAATTCACGACCAAATTACGCGTTCCATTCGGCTCAGAGAAACTTGCACCTTATGCATTCGACTTAAGAACGATGACCTAATTTTGTGGCTGTATAACAAGTTTGTATGGGCAACTGGGACCCACAGAGTATAGAAGGAATCTCTCAGTCAATTTACGGTAAGAGAACTCATCAATTTTGGAGTCTTTTGTTTTCTTTTTTCTGCACGGCTAGACGATTTTGTTTTGTTTTTGTTTAGAACCAGTTATTTGACGCGTAGTAGCAATTTGGTCGAGTTTTTGTTGTAATAAGGTCAAATGTACAAATATTTTTCCTTGGTCATTAACTTCTACCAAATGCGTAGTAGGTATGTAAGTATGTATTGTTTAGGTGGATTGTTTAACTTAAATAACATCAAGATTATAATAGTTTTAGTTTATTACTCAGTTAACGTCCTTTTTCAAATTGACGATTCTCTTGATTTTAGCTACTTTATAGAACTAGCAGCTATGTTGTTCGAATCTCGCAAATAAAAACAAAAATTCGCAGATTTTATGTAGGTTTTTAGTACAAGCCTTCCATATCTTTATACTTTAGGTACCTAACTAATACCTGCTTGTATCTCTATCTTTGATTTACTGTCACTTTCACTCAAGCCGAGTAACAGAAAGTGGATTGCTGAAAAAACTTATCATTAATCAATTTATTAATCCAATACAACGCAATATAAACTATCTACCACATAAATGAATCATACATGAACCAGACACTTTAAACGTAATATGTACTTACCTACTTACATAAGTGCTAAGTATAATAGTAGCCAACGTGCAAGAAACAGAAGATTACAAGTTTGGTTAACTATTCGTTACGCTATTATTCACACTTAATGATCGGCTTCCGATATAAAAAACACAACAAAAACTTTTTCGTATGTAAAAAATCGCAACAAAAAAGATAAACGTAGCGTAATTTCTATTGTTTTAAACCGTACAATGTTTTAAATTTTACCATTAATTATGTTTTCCGAATTTGATCTTTAAGTCGATAAACATAAGGTTTAAAATCGTTTGGATGCGCAAGCGCAGGAAACGGCAGGTGCATGAAATGCAACGATTCTGTTGCAAGACCGTATGGTGTTATTGGGCATTGTGAAGTGAAGGTGACTTTGTAAAAGTAAAGCTTAATATGCATACGAGCTTATGAATTGTTATTTCAACGCAAAACAACATTTTTCTGCTGATAGTTTTTATTTTAGTCACTACCTATTTAATTTTCACATCTATGATTGCAAATTATAAAGCTTTTAAAATTTAGTATTTCCTGTAAAAAAGCAGTTGATAGAAAATCCCAATTTTTTTAACTCTACCACTGTATAAGTTTTTACAGAAATAATATTATCATAATTTCCATTTATTGCATTTGTCTTTGATA